TCTTGTTAGCCACATTGCGGAACGTGCATCATTAACCAATGAGGCTGGTGCTAGTTAGGCTTTTTGCAAAAAGTCTAAAGTGTGTTAGCCTTATTGAGAACTAATGAATGCTTTCGCAAAAAGGCGGCTTTTTGCAAACAGGCTAGCCTTTTTGCAAAAAGGCTGATTTCGCAAAAGGGCTGCGACATATATATATATATATATATATATATATATATATATATATATATATATATATATAGTAGGTAAACATCCCGTTTAGGGGATCCACCTCCGATGGCCTTGACCTTCACATATGTTGTCAAGGTCACCCTCCTGAGTGACCTTCAGAAGGTTTTAGTCGGGGGTCGCTTTTAATTAAAAAGTTATAAACAAAAAAAGTTTCGAAAATATAGCAGTTATTTTAAGTACTGAGAGGCATAAACGACTAATATTACGTTTTTCTTTAAAGCAGAGAATACTTTATTTCGCGAGAAAGTCGCTGCTTTACCAAAACACAACATTTAAAGCAGTAAATTGTTGATAACGTGAAGTCTTTTTGTTAAAGCAGAGAATACTTACATGGGTTAGATGACGCGCTTTAAACAGTTGAATACTTTTAAAGCGCGTCATCTAACCCATGTGGCATCTCGCATATTAACTTTTCACGCATGAAAAGTTCACGCATACACTTTCCACGCGAACCGAGGTTTACCCACACCCCCCCTGCTTTCGGGGGAGATGCGGTAGCCCCAAAATAGTTTACGCATGGGTTAGTTGACGCGCTTTAAACAATTAAATACTGTTAAAGCGCATCATTTAACCTACGTATTTTCCAAACTTTTTTTGTTTTTTTGTTAATAACTTTTTAACGAATAACGAGCGACGGCTAAAACCTTCTGAAGGTCACTCGGGATCATGACCTTGACAACATGTATCAAGGTAATTGAAATCGGTGAGGTCGCCAAACTTTTATTTGTTAATAATTTTTTAATAAAAAGCAACCCCCGACTAAAACCTTCTGAAGGTCACTCAGAAGGGTGACCTTGACAACATATGTGAAGGTCAAGGCCATCGGAGGTGGGTCCCCTAAACGGGATGTTTACCATATATTGTATATATGTACATATATTTTTCCAACTTATTTAATTGCGCGCCGATTATTTGTCGGACTAGAAACACAGTTATTGTTGGAATTAAAACTCTTCCCTCCCCGGAATTAAATCGACTCGATTTAATTATCTAAAAACTGTAAAGAATTTATTGCCTCATATTACCTCATAATATACCCCAAGATATACATAATATACATAATATACATAATATACATCAGGATTCAAACCTGGAACCTCCCTCATTCCGTGAAGGGTGTCGTACCAATTCGACTACCGAGGCATGTGGTAATATTTATCGCAATAACCGCGGTTAATAATAATTTGAAACGTCTTTCTCAGGCGACGTGAATAAATAATAATAAGAGAAATAGGACCCCCCCGTTACAATATACAATCAAATTAGAATCAGAAGCCATACGATCCAAGCTTAGATCTTTGACAGCCTTATATTAGTTTCCGTATATATATAGTATATACATTATACCCAGTAAGCAAGGAACATTAAATTAACGTTTAGAAATATTGACTTTACGTGTATTTTTTAAACGTTTTTTAATAATATTATACACATATTTGAAAAATATTATTTCGTAATATGATTTTTCTGAATGTTGGTAAAATATTTTAAAAATGTTACAGAAAATATTTTTGAAATGTTACTCTGACATTTATTTGAGATCAATGCAACAGTTCAAAATTCCTTGTAATTTAGACTTGGAAATAACGTTGGTAGTATATTAATTTTCTGTTGTTAGAATGTTATTGTTTTATATTGTGCGCAACGCTCATCGCGACAGCCATGATGCGTACATTTACGTACGATGCGTGAGTGCGTATACACGCGTGTGGATCGAGCAGTGCGGAGTGCTTTTTATTTACAGTATATTATTTATATATAAGTGTTACGAATATAAGTTTTATTTCTAATTTTTATATATTATTTCGTTTATTGGTTTTGTATCTCGCACTCTTATATTCTAGTTAGTTAAAAGTTAAAGTACACTCATGTACACTTTTCTAGTTACTTAAGTTGAGTTGAAGTGCACTTGCACATTATACACTTATGTACACTTTTCCCCTATTGAAGAGCGCTGTAAAGGTGCCTTTTCATGCTGACGCTCGACGCTCATTTTCAGCGGCAAGAAGGTCGCATGACCACAATTGACGCCGGCGTCAATTGAAATTCATGAAAAGGAAAACAGCGTCAAAATTTCGGCGTCTTCGCGTTGCTTTGGCTTTGACGCTTGAAGTTGGAAAAATCCAACTTCTCTTTCTTGACGCTGGCATCATAGTGATGTCACGTGACGTCGCTCAACGCTGTTTTTCAGCGTCCCATGAATTGGCACCTTAACACTCACTAGTACCACGAGTCCCGACAAGACAAGATGTCGGTATATCGCCGTTTAGCAATAAAGTAACGTTCGTGTGTGCAATATAATAGACAAGCTTCATTCCATTTCCCAGACCTTCAAAACAGTAAACCTCGTAACAATAAGTAAGTACCTATTATGTTCTAAAAATTGTATATTAATAATAAGAACTCAATTAACCATACGTGCTATGAATAGTAGCTGATATGATGATCTATAACCTATAATTTAGGTTAACTACAAATAACGCTTTTTGGGTATTGGTAAAAGCTATATAGTGGAGTTATTTGCTATTTTCTTGCAATTTACTGCCGATTATTTTCAGCTGTTTGAGCGCGTCAAGATCATGAGCAGACGCGCACGCTTGTCGCGACAGCCAATCGGAAGCATGCAGTAATAGTTCTGGAGACTGTAGGCGCATTATTTTACATACGTATGATGCGTGAGTGTGTCATATATACGTATGTTTGTGCTTGTGCTGTCGAGCGCTTTTAATTGTATACAATATTTTTATATGGGTAAGTAATTATTATATTCTAAAACTTGCATATTAATGATAAAAACTCAATTATCTATATGTGCTGTAAATAGGTAGCTGGTGATTTAAGATCTATTTTTCGACCTATATAAGAGAGAGATATGCAAAAGAAAAGAAATATACCAAGTATTAAGGATCGAACATATTCTTGATGTACTCGGGCCGCGAGGCTGAGCAATATTCTAAGGAAAGTATTGCACAAGATACAAAGATTGGACAATATATCTCCCCTTATCTTTCATTGACAATTTTCTGACTTTTGAAGATATGCTAAAAACTGATCAAGAAGCTTTCATGCAAGTTGTAAGTAAAGCTGCTTATCACAATTATAATTAATTTTATAAACATTTACAAATAACATTTTCGGTTAGTAGTTACATAATCGTAGTAGATATAAATTTACACAATAAAATCAGACTTTGAAAATTTAAGAATTAAGAGAAAAGACTGTAAGAGAAACTCCTCTCCCTTCCTCTCTTTCTCCCTCCCTTTTCTCTCTCTCTTTCTCCCTTTCTTTCCAAGAGTAGTAAATATAATATTTGCAATTTAAAGTCGACAAAGAGATCACCAGTACTTGTAATTTTTACCGATTTTTTGGTATTATTTTCAATGTAGTGCCTATAGCAAAGATAGTAATTGCACATTATCTGTATCTACTATGTTTATAGTTATTTTGATTGTGGCGTAACATATGCATATATTTTTTGTTTATGACAATTTATTAGATGAAAAAATAGATAAAAAAGTCTAAAAGTGTCAGTAACATACAGACAAAATCATCCAGACGTCACATCAAATAAGTACTAACGCATTCACACTATATTGTTCAAGTCTTTTATGCATATAGATCTTCTATATATAAATGTGTGTTGCTTTGTTTTACCATATTTAGTAGAAAGCTTAAGTATTTATATATAAAAATCTTTTTGCAAACTTTTCATATATTTTTAAGCTTTTAAATTTAATGGAAATGGTACAGTAATATTTTTTTACAATTTTCTTTAACGGAGCAAACATACTGATAATATATAAAAGTTGTGCAATTTTTGTAACAGATAAATATTTACACTCACAACTCGAGATCTTTACTTTGAAAATTTTTAATCATTTTTGTGATATATTGAGCAAATGTTCTAATTGATTTTCACCTATTTTTATTATGTAAAAGGATTTGTAATTCTATGCAACCAATACGATATATGTAAACTTTCTAAAAGAAGGTAGAATTTTGTCGGTAAAGTTTTCAAATATAGTATGTCGTATGTCCTTCAAAAATCAAAATGTATTTGTATTAATCTCTATAATGTATTCAACTGTATGTTTTATGTATAAAACTATTAAATAGAATCTTGAGGAGGAGCACCCAATGCGTCCAAAACCAAAAATGGTTACTCTGACTCTTAATCTTACAAACTTATATCTATAATATATGTCCTTTAATATGTTTTATAATATCCTATAATATATATTATATTTTAAAATTTTTTTGAATTATTTTCCTTGCAATTTATAATAATATACTGCATTATATAGAATTACAAGTATAAATTTTTCAGGTGAACAAGGTTATGTTAATTGGAGGGAAACATGAAAAAGATTTTATTAGAAAAAGTTTGAGTGCTACATTTTCTGATGATTTAGCCTCTATGTGTTCATGCATGGACTGGCCAAAAAAATAATTATAAAATTGGAGATACGCACACAATTCTGAGCATTAAAAGTAAGTAATTTTTTAAGAGATGTATATATTACCTGCAGTATTAAATGCTATGTTTTATGTCTCAAAATTTATTAAATTGTCTCCTATTTTTTTGTGGCAATCATCGTTAAAAAGCAGGACACACATACACGTTAAAAATTCTTACGAAATAAAAAAAATATATATATCTATAAACTAATACTTTTGATCGATTTAGTATATATGTAAACTATTCCGGAAACTTTTGTGTTATTTCAATAATTATCATAAGTTTTAATTGCTGTTAAATTGACATTACCTATTTATTTCTTTCATCTAACAATAAACTGTATTGAATTTTTCTTATTCCAGAAGCTTTTAGAGCAATATTCCCTCGGAATACAGAAAAAGATTTTGAACACTTTGTAATGGAGTGGTTCAGATTCGCAAACGTCCGTAAGGAAAGAAAAAAACATTAAAAAGGTAATGTAATGTATTTCGGTATATACTCTCTATAAAATAAAATCATTATAGTTTGCCGCGTTATAATTTATAAGTAACTTTTTCACTAATTTAATTCTACTTTTATTTTTCAAGAAGTGATAAATATATTATCTTATTTGCGTGGCTCCGCGCGAGTGATTATTATAGTAACTTTTTTTATTTGAAAGATAAGTTTTATTCCAAAACCTTCCGCTTGGATCAGTGATCTTCACCAAAAATATTATTGAAATAAACTGAAAACTGTAATATATAGTATATATTATTTTTATATAAATAAAACTTTTTTATGATAATTAGTAAATTATTCCCTAATGCAGATTAGTATATAATAGGCCTGGGCAACTTCGAGCTCCGGAGCCACGACACCCCTACTTTCCGTGGATAGAAAAGAAGTGTCGTGGTTCTGGAGCTCAAAGTTGTCCAAGCCTGGTCTATAAAAAAGCAATCTAAATATTAATTAGACAATAAATATTGAAATATTTTATTACTATTGCAATTTATTGAAAACATGTTGCCTGTAATAGAAATAAAACATCAATAAGAACTTTAAATAAATGTCAGAATTAATATTACGGTAATCTTAATATAATATTGTAATAAAGTTGATAGTACGTTTAAATTTTTATCTCAAAAATATTACAGGAATGATAGAAAAACCTTAGCGCAATGTTATTTGCAACGTTATGGCACTCCCATTTCAACATTACTGAAATTTCGGAATCGTGGTCAAAGTATGTTCATAATAATGTTCTATACAACATTAAGAATGTTGATCTGGGCAGAGTTATACAGGGATGGATAAGTAAAAATCACGATAATAGTTACACAGTCTTTAATACGAGGATATTCAACAGCGGTTTTGCAACGACTGACATTTACATCCGATACATAGAAAGGAAACATGGCATACTCCCAGAACTCAAGATCGATAGATATACGCGATATATCGAATATGTCGATATTTCCAAATGTGTGGCGATTAATGAACTGACTTTATAACCAACACTCCTCCTATCGACACACAACAAAGAAAAATATATGCTTTATAATTAATTAGTCAGTTTTAATATGTCCTTGCATTTTGATAGTTTATTTTTCAGTAGGGACTTAGTCAACCGTCGCTTGGGATGTATTCCACGATAACTTCTTTTTCCTCCTGAGCTTCTCTTGTAAAGTGGAAACGGATGTCCACATGTTTGCTCCGCTGATGATACATACTGTCCTTGCTGAATTTTATTGCGGTTTGGTTGTCGCAATTTATGCACGTTGGCTCGTCCACGTAGGCTCCACCATTCATATGATCAAGGAGGCGCCGTGTATATATCACCTCCATGGTTGAAAGAGCGACTGACTTTTGTTGCTTGGACTTCCAGCTGATGGAACCCTCTGCTAGCGTTAGCACAAGGCCGGTACAGGAACGTCGATTGTCAACATTTCCTCCTCAGTCGGAATCAACATAGGCGTGAAGTGGTTTACCAGATTTGATGTAGTTGATTCCAAGACTAGATAGACGTGCCTATTAGATATCTCAATGCATGTTTCGCTGCTTTCCAATGAATTCTTCCTGGGTTGGCATTAAAACGGCTCAGAGCATTCGCTACAAATGCTAGATCGGGCCTTGTAGTGTTCGCTAGATAGATAGACTCCCGACAAGTTCTCGGTATGGCATTTGTTTCATCTCATCCTTCTCTTCCTTTGACGTTGCTTCATCTTCGCGAGATAATTTTACACCAGCTTCGATGGGAGTTGAAACCGGATTAGCACATGTCATTCCAAATCTTTCGATGATTCTCTTTACATATGCCTCTTGAGAAACACGTATGCTTCCTGTTGCTCCTTCACGTTCAACGCGCATCCCCAGAACTTCGCTCACTTCTCCTAAGTTTTTCATTTTGAATTTTTCACTTAGTCTCGATTTTACTGTATTTAGTACCTTCAAATTCCGTGATGCTATAAGTAGATCGTCCACATAAGCAATCACAATTACAATCTCACCGTCTATTAGTCCTACAAACACACATGGTTCAGTTTCTGAATGATGTAAACCAATATTGTTCAAACACGTACGTAATTTTTGATGCCATTTTCTGCCGGATTGCTTCAAACCATATAGAGTGCGTAATAACTTCAACACCTTACCCTCCTTTTTGGGAACTCCGTAAATGGCTGCTCCATGTAGATCTCTGATAATAGATCACCTTGGACGTAAGCTGTAACAACGTCCATTTGGTGGACATGCAGTTCCTCCTCGACGCTTAATGCAAACAAAGTGCGTATGGTTTCCATCCTAGCGACAGGGGCGTAGACTTCATCAAAGTCTATCCCGTAGCGTTGTTCACATTCGCGAGCCACCAACCTCGCTTTGTATCTTTCCACCTCACCATCTTGACGTCTCTTTGTGTGAAACACCCACTTGCAACTTATTGCTTTCTTGCCTGGAGGTAGGTCGGTAAGCTCCCAGGTTCCATACTCCTTCAGTGAATTGTACTCACTTTGCATCGCCTCTAGCCATTCGTTTTTGTGAACACTGGACATAGCTTCTTCTACGGTTGTCGGGTCGTTTTCCACTTCTGCGATGTTTGCCATCTAATACTCCTTTTTCGGTCTTTCTGGCTGACCCGTACGTATAATATTCGGCCTACCAGGCCCTCTTCGTGGATTTTCCAATGAAGGTTGTATAATTTCTTCGACCTGAGTCAACTCTTCTGGCTCATCTTCGTCTATCTCTGTTTGCTCATCTTCAGTTGTAAGCTCACGGTCCTCATCGTTTGGTGGTCCATTTCTTATTTTATTAACTCTCGTGTTCTCTGATTTAAGAGGTAACTCTACGCTATCTGGTGACTTTTGGGTTACGAAAACTGGATTTTCAATAAAACGGACGTCATAACTTTTTATCACACTTGTAGTACCTCTGCGCCATAGCCGATAAGCCTTCGATTCTGTGCTATATCCGAAAAACACGAAATCTTCGCCTTTCGCATCCCATTTTGACACACCAGGGCCCTTCCTCAAAGCGGTTGCATGAGAACCAAATGTTTTAAACTTCCTCACGTCCGGTTTCTTTCCACTCCATAGCTCCAGCGGTGTCTTTTCTTCCGTAGCTCTCGATAGACATCTATTTCGCAGAAATACTGCTGTATTTACAGTTTCGGCCCATAACGACGTCGGCGCTCCAGATTGCAATAACATGCATCGTGCCATCTCTTCAATTGTTCTGTTTGCTCGCTCGGCCACGCCGTTTTGCTCTGGCGTGTATTCGACAGAGAACTCTCTCTTGATTCCTTCATTCTCGAGAAACTGGTTGAACTCCTTTGAAACGTATTCTTTGGCATTATCAGAGCGCACTTTTATTATTTTTCGACCATGTTCTCTTTCTACTCTTGCTACATATTTCTTAAACGCGACGAAGACATCACTTCTCTTCTTCAGCATGACTACTTCAGTATACCGCGTCCTGTCATCAATAAAGGTAACAAAGTACCGTGCACCTCCCATCGATGTAATATTCATCGGTCCACACATATCCGTATGGATCAACTCCAGCGTGTTCTTTGCCCTTGTCTCTGAAACTCGGTGTGGCAATGCATGTATCTTCGCTCGGTTGCAAATTTCACATGGAATCTCGATCACTCTTGACGGGATGTTGAGTCCGGTTACCATATTATTTATCTTTAGTTTGCGCAAATCATTGAAGTTTAGATGACCGTATCTCTCGTGCCATAACCTCAAAGTCGCCACTGATCCGTCCACGATCATAACGCTGTGCTGCTGCGTTTTCACAACATACATTCAATCTTTCTTCGCGGCCATTAATACGATTAAACCGTCTTTTCGCGATACGATTGCATATTTTCTTTCCCGAACGTTACCGAATAACCACGATTCGTAATAGCTGATACCGATATCAGATTATTTCGCAAGCCCGGAGCATATAACACGTTTGAAAGAACAATTTGACTCGCGGAATCTCGTGATGGTACATTGAGACTCACTTTCCCGCTTCCGTAAGCCCTCACTACAGATTTCCCCGCCGTTCGAATACTACATGGCGGATCGCCGATTAAACTTTCAAATAACTTTTTGTCTTTGCACATATGCATCGTCGCGCCGCTGTCGATGCACTATTCTTCCTTTTCCACTTCGCATGCCATTGCAGTTGTAGCTATCAACACGTTTTCATTTTCGCTGTTGCTCTTCTCAGAAGTGTCTGCACAATTTGCTTTATTTTGTGGTAATTTTGTTTTGCAGACCGATGCACGGTGACCAACCTTTCCACACTTGAAGCATTTTCCAAGGAACTTGCTATTATTTGTGTTTTTCGCGTGGATTTCCTTCTTGTTTGTACTCGGAGTACGAGAATACAATGCTGCACTATTTTCGCCAGTATTGACGTTACTTTGTCTTCGAGCATCTTCCTCGATCAGCTTGGCTTTGATGACACTTACCTCAGGAATATCATCACGGGACTCGATTGCGACGCGAAAATTCTCGAACTCTTCTGGGAGACAGCTCAACACCATAATCGATAGAAGCTCCTGCGGGACAACAACTCCAACGTAGGCAAGCATGTCAGCTCGTTGTTGAAACTCGTTAACAAACTGAGCCATTGATTGGTCAGGCTTTTTCTTTGATTGGTATAACTCTCTATAAAGTACTGCCTTTCTGACCGGTCCTTGCAACTTATGAATTTTCTCTAATTCATCCCATGCTCCCTTGGATGTTGTTTGCTTCCTAATATGGCCAATCTCCGTCTTCGAAACACCGAGCACTATCAACGCAAGCCCTTCTCATCTTTGGTTATCCATGCCGTCGCGGCTGCAGCATCTTCCGGTTTGACCAATGTGCCGAAGACATAACCCCACAAGTCGTTGTACATACATACACGAGGACACTTTTCATCTGCATCCTCCACACCTCGTAATTGTTATCGCATAACTTATCAATATGTTGCGTGCCTGCCGCGTGCATCTTTGCACTTTTTACGTATTCACGTCGTCTCTCTCGGTAGTTACGCACACAATAACCGC